TAAATCCTGGCGGAAATGTGTTAGATGGATCAGCGTTCTCTGAGAATAAATCGTTGAAATACTATACCAATCCCGATGGACAGTTTATGGCGACGTTGAAGACGATCATGAACGAGAAAAAGTGGGAGTTGAATGCATCATGGAATCAATTAACAGACGCACAACAAGCACTGATTTTATATGGTACAGGTGATGCTGAATGGGATGTCGAATGGACGTTTAAAACCAAATCTCGATCTGGAACGCAATCGTTAACGACGAAATGGATCGGATTCTGCGGGTACATTGATGATGAATTTGAGCGAAAACGAAATAACAAGAAAATAGAATCACTGGAAGCGTTATTGCATCAAGAAGAATGCGAGACGTGCCATGGCAGTCGACTAAAGGAATACTTATTGGAAACATCATTCCTTGGAAAGAACATTCATGAGTTATCTCAATTGTCCATTCGAGAGGTTTTAAAGCATTTTGAAAAGGGTATTTCCGACTCCAACGTTCAGGCAATTGCCGATGTTGTGCTACCCGGCGTAATTCGAATGCTAAAAACGCTGGAGCAGCTGGGCTTATCTTATTTGAGTATTCACCGTCCTGTTTCTTCACTTTCGGGTGGTGAATATCAGCGTGTGATGTTGGCCGGGCAGTTGTCTTCACATTTGTATGGAGTCACCTACGTGTTGGATGAACCAACCATCGGATTGGATGAAAAACAGGTGTTAACCTTGATCTCACTGCTAAAACAACTCATTGAGAAAGGAAATACGGTAGTTGTGATTGAACACGATGAAACCTTTATTCGACATGCGGATCATATTCTTGAAATGGGGCCTGGGTCTGGAGAATTTGGTGGAGAAGTTCAGTTTACTGGATCGATTGAGGAAGTGATGAATGCGAACGATTCCATTACGGCAAAATTGTTGAATACCTCAGTGGATTATTCTGCCAGGAAGTCGGAGTCAGTTACCAGGGAATTTGGTGTGCGGGGAGCGACCTTGCATAATTTGAAATCAATTGATGTAGGATTCTACGAAGGACAAATTACGGCATTGACCGGTGTTTCTGGAAGTGGGAAGTCGTCATTAATGGAAGGGGTATTGTATGCCTCTTTTCAGGCAAATCAGCCGATCGGGTGTGAGTCCTTTTTTGGAATGGATGCATTCGATGAGGTGTTATTGGTTGATCAACAACTGTTGTCTACATCGTTGACGAGTACGGTAGCGTCGTATACAGGAACTCTGGATGATTTGAAGTTGGTCTTCTCGAAAACCGACCATGCGAAAGAACTTGGATTAAAACGAGCGGATTTCAGTTATCTCAGTAAGAATGGGAAATGTCCAACGTGTTCAGGAAATGGAAAAATCAAAACGAGTCTGGATTTTATGAGTGATGTCTGGACACCGTGTGATACTTGTTCTGGAAGTCGCTACAGCGAGAAGGTGAACAGTGTGCTGTATGAAGAGAAATCGATTGGTGATGTCTTGAAATTGAGCATAGATCAGGCGATGGATGCGTTTGCGAATGAGTCGTTTGTCAAAAAACTGCAGATTCTGTCGGATGTGGGAATTGGCCACGTGCTTTTAGGACAGGCAACAGCAACACTTTCCGGTGGTGAAGCGCAGCGTGTAAAACTCTCGAAATACCTATTATCGAAACAAAAAGGAAAACGATTGTTCTTGTTCGATGAACCTAGCTCAGGATTGCATTATTTCGATATCCAACAATTGATTGATGTATTCAGAAGTTGTATCGATCAAGGTGATACCATTGTTTACATCGAACACAACAAGGTGATGCTACAGTTGGCTGATCAAGTAATCACGCTTGGTCCCGGAAGTGGAAGTCAAGGTGGAGAAATCGTTGAGTGATGCTACCCTCGTTAAAGTATTAGTCGAATTTGACTAAATCACGGATTTCAACTTCGATTGTTTGCTCAAAATCGATTTTCAAAGTTTGAAACTCTTCATCCATGATCATGGGATGTCCTGAAATCTTATCTGCAGGAACGCTTGATTTTCCTTTGTACGATTTCCAGAATTTCTTGATTGATGATTG